ATCCTCCTAACTTTACAAGATTCTGATTATTATTCTGATCATATACGATCACATACGTTTCTGGGAAACTGCCCACCTACCCCTCCCCTAAGCCAACATTAACACTAACTTCTCACTAAGGGAAAAATTTTGGCTTCGGGGAGGGGAAGGTGGGCGGTTTTGCAGAAACTTAATAGTCTAAAGTGTCAGCCGTCTCTTCGCCGCCGCACCCCCCCAACAGGTGGCCAGCCCGTTGAGGGTAGAAGGGAGGTGGGTTGAAAGACTATCCTGTGACGGGCTCTCAGATAGTGGAAAAGCCAAGAGAAAAAAAGACACCCGTGATCTGGTGAAGGGGGCGGTGACTGCCCTCTCTCATCCTAATCCCATCGCGAATTCGGACAGTTTTCAGGCGTATTTTGGGCGGGCGAAAGCCATCTTTGATTTTAAGACAGCAACATGGCGATTTCGCGAGCAACAACGTTCGGGCGTGCAAAGAAAAAACGACTGTACTGCAGGTTATGGTTGGCCGTGTTATAATGACTGGTTTGCAGTTGACATCATGGCTGGTTTTGTTGCATCAAGTCAGTCAAACGCTGTTGTCAAGTACTTCACTAGGGGAGAATGTGAGGGCGTATGTCCAGAGGCTAACCTTGTCACCATTCCTAGAAATTTTTTCAAAACCGTTCTCAACAAAATAAAATCTAAAAAAATCCCCCCCAAAAGTGAAATAAAAAACAGCGGACGAAATAAGCCGAGAGGAGAGAATGCAAACGCTGGAATAATAGTCTGCAAGGGGCATGCCGAAACTTTGAAAGCTGTCATTTGTCATTTGGATCAAAGTAAATGCGCAATGCTTGATTTGTCAAAAGAAGGTTGTGGGCAGATTTGGTCCCTTGTAGTGACCAGAATTTCAAACGACGTTTTCCAGAAAAATTTACACGTGTGGATAGGCTAAAATGTACCATGTATCCTCTTTTGGGAAAGACGTTTTTGACTAATAAACTTGCTTAAAGAATGTCCGAAAAATAAATGGAGCTATAACTTTATTAATGAGCTTCTCCAAAACAGTGGAGTTGGGTGAACAAGCCTCTGTCGCTCTGTGGGTAACAAATACAAAACTGGCTGAAAAAAGTACTGTTTACAAAATAACATAAATAGAGTTTTCGAGTGAAACACGAAGTGATTTACATGGAATGGATTACACTGTAATTCTGAGAACGTCGGCTTGAGTGCTTAACGAAGCAGATCTTTTCGAATTAACAAAAGCAGTAGGGTAGCCGCAACTATCTGTAAATATGAGACGACTGATGACCGGAGAAACAGCTGAGTTACTATAGATCGTTTGTGCCATTACCAAATTAAATTCACTACGGCAAACACGCTCAACTTTTATCAGTTTGATACAAAATACATTGCAAACATGTTCCCCTCATTGGTCCTCAGTAACCCTAGGCAAGGCGGAAACAGTATATTTTAAGGTCTGATTAGCTTGCCATAAATAATCCCCATATTCAGAGATTAGTTTTGGTAAGAAGTATGTACCAACCATTATCATGCGGCCCTAGCATTTAAATAAGGTTATTTACAACAGATTTGCTCATGCTTAGCGCAATGAAACGATTACCGTACAACACTCAGTTCATGCTATTAAATAATATAAAAATTAACCCTTGTTCAGTTAGGATGGGCTACATAAGATCCTTTCCTTTAACATGTTAACTATCCAAGCGTAATAGTGGCCTCCAAAAAATTAAAACCTAAATCAAGCTGAAATTCTGGAACGTGACCCCAGTGAAGCAGGTGGAGAGAACGCTTAGGGACTGGTCAAAAAGTATAGGGGGGGTGGGCCGGAGCATTTGGAAATGTGGTTGATAAAAAACACATGACCCACCCCGTCCCTTCGGCACAAAAATGACTGACCCACCCCTAAAGCAAGGTTGGAAATTGCATGACCCACCCCCTAGTTAAAACATGGATGCTCGGTTTCCTCTTAATACTCCAATGAAACCTTGTTCTGTGCTTGACAAAATTTGTTGATACACTGCTACAAGCAATATCAAAATCACAGAAATCATACCTTTCACTGAAAAGACGAATGTGAAAAACTGAACATTTCTTGTTTCAATGGACGTTATGAGTCTTGACACAAATATACAGCAAAACAAGGGTATATTGAAATTATCTGTCACAAAGCATATGAAAATTTCAACAAAGACAACCCATTCCTACACATTACTTGCCAGAAATGATTAGATTAATTCTCAACGAAAATTTCTTCTACTTCAGTGGAAAGCACTACCTACAAAACCATGGAACTGCAGTGGGCACAAAAACAGCAGTTTTGATTCCTTTGCCAATATTTTCATGACATATATTGAAACAACAAATCATTGAACAAGCAAGCTTGCACCACCTAACTACTGAATTCATGACCGAAACATTTGACACTGAGACTGCGTTTTTAGACACGGTTGTATACAAAGGCACAAGATTCAAGGAAAAATCTATCCTTGATGCAAAGACACATTTCAAACAGACGGAAAGCTTCTTGCACACACATTTCACTTCGTGTCACCCTCCAGATGTTAAAAAAGAATTTGTCAAAGGAGAAGTCTTAAGAATCCTACGAAAAAACTGCTCAGAAACAACCTTTGAGGAAAATAATTCAAATTTAAAAAAAAACGCTTGACGGACAGAGGCTACCCACAATTTTTCAGGGGCACCCAACGTCAATTTTCGGAAAATATCTGTTCGAAAGACGATTTGAGATCTAGAATTTTCGGAACATTTGTTGTAAAATTTCTTGCTTGTCTGCCCCTCCTAGGATTTTTTAACATCTGAAAAAATGGTATAATTGCCCATTTTTAACGGATTTTTACCCTAAGGTCACCTAGAATTTTCGGGAGCCTTTTTTCTGGCTGAAATTTTCGAAAAGGTAAGTTTTAATCCCTACAATTTGCGTATCACAAGACTTTCAGCTAGGAGATCCGAACAGATGAAAAATTTTTAGGGGATAAAAATATGCCTATATCTACTGTTTAAATACTAAAAAATACGTTTAACAATGCTACGTTTAAGTGGTTTTGAAATATATTCTCGTTTGTTGCCCCCTATCTTTGATAGAAAATCTACTATCAGAAAAAGAATTCACAAAAGGGAGTCTAAACTCCTAAAACAAAACAGCAAGGAGGAAAAAGAAATATTGCCATTCGTGACACAATACCAGCCCTCAGTGTCTACTATAAAGGAAGCTTGAATGAAAAAATGGAATTTTATACAAAACCAACTATAACTTCAATAAATTTTTAAAGAACCACCAATCATTTTCTTACAAAAAAGGAAAATCGTTAAAGGACATGCTTGTTAGAGCCGAAAAAAATAAGGTTAACGGAGGGTTGCACGCCCGTATAGATGTGCGGCTTGTCAACCTTTGTATTTTCTCGCACAACAGGTTTGTGAGTATTTTAGCAATAATTCCAGCTGGCGGTGTTTTATATAACAAGTGTAGTCAACTGTCTCGTTAGTGGTTAGTAAAAAATAGGGTGACCCACCCCCTAAGGGTAGCTGAAAATTGCAAGACCCACCCCTTGCACAAGGCTCAAAACCTCATGACCCACCCCCTCTCTGCTCCGGCCCACCCCCCCCATACTTTTTGACCAGTCCCTTAGTACGAAGAAAAGGAGGGACTTTCACATATCGCAATCTAGATTGTTATTCATGCTCCGGTCTTTACTGATTGTTAGACACTGACATCTTTTGTTATCTTTGCTTTGTTCTACTTATCAATTATTTCAGATTCCGGTAAATGAAACACAACCTAGAAGGAAGAAGTGGAAAGCTCCTCGCGCGCTCTCTCCACGCGTCTCGCGTGTGCCCCTGATCATATACAGTCTGGAGCCAGTAGGCTCTCAGACAACCTCTATTATATTGACTTTTAAAAACACAAGTAATGCTCACAGCGCATTCATGTGGAAAAGTCGGCTGTGGTAGAGTCCAGATATGGACTTCAAGTTTGCAATACGGATCTTAAGCACCAGACGTTCTTGGTACGGCGAACGCCAACTGGAAGTATTTTTGTAGCCTGTTCCAGGCGATCGCTTTCTTTACTTCGCACCGCTCTTCACTATCTGAACGCTTGGAACAGGCTAGTATTTTTGCAGCATGACAGCCACCGCGCGTGTCAAGTAGGCTTTTGTACATTATGCTAGCATTTTTTCGAGCATTTTAGTGAGGCAAAAGCATTGAGCATTATTCGAGCATTTTAGTGGCATTTTCCCCGGAAAATTAATTTTTCCGAGAAAATAAAATAGAAATTAACTTTTTTCAGGAGTCCATGCCCCACGAGCTCCCGCGTTTTTAAAGAAAATGAAGACTAAAACTCAAAATTCACAAAAAACCTAATACAGCTGGTTTTTTTGGCTGTATTTATGAACTTGTACACGTTGTCGTTGTTACTTGCAACACTTGAACGTTTTTGTAAGTGTAAACTTTGAAATTAATTTAAAAAACCGTTTGTATAATGAGCATTATCCGAGCATTTTAGTGACTTGTTTGGGGAAACCGAGCATTTTAGTGGGAAAAATGGAGCATTAGGGTGGAGCATTTTAGTGGGGGAGCAAAAGCATAATGTACAAAAGCCTAGTGTCAAGACGTTCTTGGGCTGCAGTCATACCCTGGGTACCATAGGTTTTTCTCGCGTGCGGCGGGAATTTTCGGTAGGCCGAAGCCTGCAGTTACGGACTTCAAAACGCAAGTTTTCAGGTTGAAACCAGTGGTTCAGAAACGTGAGTATGAACACGGTTAAAAAATTGTTAAAATTTGATGTCCAGCAGTATGACAGTTTTCAATCCTTGTATGTTCTTTTGTGATGGTAGAACTTTAAAACCGTGGTAGATTCTTTGAAAGACATTTTCAAATGAATTATCCTGTCGGCATTCGTGATGGTTTCAGTTCTGCGCGGCCAGCCATGCCGTTAACTACAACGGTACACAAGAACGTCTGGTGCTTAGTTCCATGATAGCTTACGAACCGGAACTTCTACTTTCCATGGCCAAATTGTCGAAGTAAATTGTTCTGGACCTTGAACTACCGCCACATTTCAGGCAGGAGAAGAGCTTGGCAATTGCCTTCCTGAAATTTTCAAATCGCCACGCGTAAACAAACGGGTTCACTGCTGAATTGGCCAAAATAAAAAGGAAAGGAAGATCCCTTGCCCAATGAATCAAATTACAGCTGCAGTATGAGCAAAGGTTGATGATGTAAATACAAATGAAGGAAGGGAGATAACATGCCAAAAATAACCCCAACATAATCATAAATGTTTTGGTTACTTTCTGCTCCCATTTTACAGCTTGTCTCCTGGCTTGATTGTCAGAATTAGTCTGATCCAACGAGTCCCATTGTTCAACCTGATCCTTAAACACGCGAAATATTTTCAAGTAAGTCAGTAACATAACCAGAAATGTGGCAATGATCACGGTGTGAATGAAGACGAACGAGTAGGTGAGGTATCCGGTCACGATGTACACAAAAGGAAAGCTAAGGGAGAAAGCCCAGATGCCTGCAGCCACAAAACTAGCTCGTTTAGGATTTAGCCTTGTTCGGTAAGACAGCGGTGAAGTTAGTGCGAAAAATCGATCCATTGTTAAAGCCCCAAGGCTGAGAACGGAAGCTGTGCAGGAAACGAAGTAAGGAATGTGGATGTAGACAAGAGCAGCTGGGTATTTTTTCGCCGTTCCCTCGCTCACGTGATACGCTATCGCCAGTGGATCGACTACAAATCCAACCAGAAGATCAGCGATTGCTAAGTTGGCAACAAATGAGTTAAAGGGCGATCTGAGATCCTTGTTTGGGTCGATAAAGATGGCTAACACAACGAGAATGTTTCCTGTTATGGTTACCAAACACAAAACGGAAGACACTGTCGCAGTTGTAAAAGAGATGTAACTCGGCGGATAGGGTACATGATCACAAGGATATTCACCAAATAAAGACATCGCTTATTGCAGACACAGATGGGAGATTCAAGCTGTACTAAAACGTAACTTCAAACAGCCCACAGTCACTCATGTGATGATAATGAATGAGGTCGGATGTTGAACACACGAGTGGAACTGGTACGAATGATTGTTGTGTGACTGGATGAGGACCCCCTGGGGCACTCATACAGACTTGCTTAGTGTGACGGCAGTAGCACGACGTTTGAAACAGGCCTAAGTGGTCTCCTTTTTTTGTCCCAAAAATCTAATTCCATGACACGCTAAGTTTGAAAAATAACTTAATTCGGTATGCAAAACGAAACGAATCAGGGTCATCATCCGTAGCATGTCAGATCCCATGATTTCATCAGGGTAGAGAAGTGAAGATGTTTTCAAGGTTTCGACGGCACATCCGGCTACCCAAACTTCCCTTGAGTGCCCCCCTCCTCCCCCGCCGGGGATGACTGAGTGCTCTTGTACGTGGTCAATGATAACAAGAGTCTTCTCTTGATTATAAAAAAACACGGCTGATATTGACGCCGGCTAGCTTTGGGCTTCGAGGAAACTTGTTTTGTGAAGGAGATGGCTTAGAGATGATTCTTCATGTTTAAAGTACGACAGCAAAGTCTATAAAAGCGTTATAAAATTAACGCTTATATTAGCTCAAAAACTAAATTTTTACATCAACATGATTTCCGTGTGAACACAGACATATTTGCGGCAACACCGAAAATACTTCTTCGTTCGCAGTGTGATATTACCACCCCACACTGGCTTTTTAATACTGCTGCACAGCCGTTTTTGGTGTAAGCGTTGCGTGACGAAACTAAAAACGGCTGTGTAGTACACTAGCCTTTTAAAGGAGCTAGTCGGGTTTGGGGAGGAAATACGTATCCCCGAAAACCTTCGGAGTAGGAGGTTAGTCGGGTATATGTTAACATGCATTTCATTACGACGAATTTGATGTTTGAATATGCGCAAAAAATTCTACAGTAGCCTGCGCTGAACCCAAGACAAAAAACAATGTCTAACAACAGCGCTACTCATACGAACAAAGATATTTCAATAGCGAGATATCTGTCCCCTTGGAGATATTTTAAAAATGATCGCACTCACGATCACACCCACGTTTTAAAGATTCCCGCTTTTAAAGATTCCCCGTTTTAAAGATTCCCGCTTTTAAAGATTCTTCGTTTTGAAGATCCCCGCTTTTAAAGATTCCCCATTCTCATTCCCCGATTCCCCGTTCCTTGTTTTAAAGATAGCCACTGCATGACCTCCACCTTCTTGTGGTTGAGCTGTATTCTAGTTCTCCCGGAGTTCTTTATGGAGAACTAAGAGGGTCTTTGCTAAATAAAATAAGCTCCCGTCTCTATTAAGTCCACCCTCAAATGTGTTTGAAATAAATGAGCCCCCCGGGGGACTTAATAGAAGATTAATAGAGCTAATCTGAGAGCTAATTATGTTTCCCTTGCGTCTCAATGTTTCGCTCGGCTCCGCCTCGGGAAACGAAGTTGACTGTTTCCCTCGGGACCTGTCATTAAGTGATTTTAAATGTGACATGCCTCAGTGAATATTTTTCCCTATTTATTCTATTTTTTGTTTTTTGTCCGAATACAGATGTATATCTGCCTCTGAGTCGACAAACGGCCTAAAGGTCAGAGGCACCCAGCCACTTTTTTCGGTAAAATATCTGTTCGGAGAGGCAAATATTTCCTAGCATTTTCTATTACTTAAAGACGGCTAAAAACTGCTAGATGACCGTTCTTGTACAATTTTCGTTCCATTCATGTACATTTTCGAAGCTTATCTAATAAATTCCCTACGACTTTCTGAAGTTTAATATTTCACATTTCACTCCCCAGGTTGGGCTATTTTTCGTAGAAGAATGGAAGCTAAAAATTGTATAATTTAAACATTTGATGGAGAAAGGAATATAGAAAATTCTTTTTATTTATTTTAATTTTTATTATCTTTATTATTATTATTATTATTTAATTTTATTGCAAGTAAAACACAAAGCAGAAAAAAGAGATTACACGGAATGAATTGGAAGAAAAAAGATTACATGGAATAAATAACTAAATAAAAAATATTTTAGTTTAATCAAGAATATTTATAATACTTTCACCTTAAAGAAAGGATTCAGGAAAATGTTTCGAACCTTCGTAAAGGAAATAAAACTGAAGCTCTTGTAATTTCGAAAAGACTCAAGTTGCCCTCGGATGACTGGACAGATCAAGACTTAGAATCCATTTGTAGTGGTCTAAAAGTACTCTAGATAGCCTAAAAAGTGTTTTCAATGTATTTAAGAGGAAATCCGCGTCGTTAGTTGCCCTTGATAAGTGCTAATATGCAGGGCTTGCCAGGCATGGAAATGACTTGACTGAAAGAACGGTATCAACCTAATCGAAACCGAAATATTGACAACTCATTAAGGACATAAGCATAAAAGGGCATAAGGTAAAAGGGGTCATGAACTACAGATGGCTGCTTGCAGAAGTCTTTTGTTTCCTTTGTTTCACGAAAAAAAGGGAGCTTTTCGTCCCTATTCCGTTAGCAACAAATGAAATATATTTTAGAGAACATCCGCACGCAGGCTAGAACCAAAAAAGCCAAAAAGACGGCACCACGCACCTGCAATTTTTGCTACATGAGGACACAAAAACTGATTAGGAAGAATATGGTCCACATCCGGAGAGAGAAACTGAAGACAAATAAGCAGGAAGGGCGAGCCTTTTGTAAGCCTCCACCGGGGGGAGGACTCCCAAATGAAAGGGGCGGGGATGCTCGTCGGAACTTTTGAATTAAACCCCCAAAGGAGACCAATCTGGGCGTAGCCCAACCTTTTTTTACCCCTAAAAGCGATCATTTTAAACTTGGATTACATGAATCGAGTGAATAAAACGAGTTGAAAATATATAATTTTTTAATATTTCTTCGAGTGCAACCCTATAAGGGACTTTTACGGCTAAATATAATGGTGTTTTGCCTAGAACACCTTAAGCGAGACCAAAATCTGAAATTTACACCCCTAAGCGACCTAAGCGAGACGACGAGCATCCCCGCCCCTTTCATATGGGAGTCCCCCCCCCCGGGGAGCCTCCACCAGGATGGAGCACGTTTTTACTCCGACTGAGAACTTATTTTACTCCCCATGGTCAAACTGTTAGAGTCAGGCGCAAATCTTCCCCTTCTGAAATGCCCAGAACACTTGACTTTGGAAAGAAGGAAGATAATCGCTTTTCTGAAATTCTCAAATTGCCACGCGTACACAAACGGGTTCACTCCTGAATTTGCCAAAATCAAAAGAAAATGGACATCTCTTGCCCAGTGAACAAAGTTACAGCTGCACGTTGAACAAAGATTGGTGATGTAAATACAAACACAAGAAGGAAGATAACATGCCAAAAATAACCCCAACATAATCATAAAGGTCTTGGTTACCTTCTGCTCCCATTTTACTGCTTGTCTCTTGACTTCATTGTGAGAATTAGTCTGATCAAACGAGTCCCACTGTTTAACCTGATCCTTAAACACGCGAAATATTTTCCCGTAAGTATATAACATGAGTAAAAATGTAGCGATAATCACAGTGTGAGCGAAGACAAACGCGTACGTTAGGTATCCAGTAAGGAGGTATATAAATGGAAAACTAAGCGAAAAGGTCCAAATTCCCCCTGCTATGAACGCAGTTCGCTTAGGATTCAGTTTTATTCTATAAGAAAGAGGAGATGTTATTGCCCAAAATCGATCCATGGTTAAGGCAGCCAGACTGAGCACAGAGGCTGTGGACGCAACAAAGTACGGAATGTGGAGGTACACCCGTTCAGCAGGATATTTCTTTGTAATTCCCTCGCTTAAATGAAACGCTGCCGACATTGGATCCACCACGAATCCCACCAGAAGATCGGCGAAGGCTAAGTTGGCAACAAAGTAGTTAAACGGGAATTTAAGATTTTTGTTTGGGTCGATGAAGATGGCTAACACGACTAGAACGTTTCCTGTTATGGTCACCAAACTCAAAAAGACTGAGATTGTGGCTGTCGTGAAGGACATGTAACTCGGTGGATGAGGTACACTATCGCACGGATATTTTCCAAAAAGTGACATTGTTTTCCGGCGGTAGACGACGAAAAGCGTTTGTTGAAATGAAGCTTGAAAGTAGTAGTGGCTTCACTGGTTCGATAGTGAAGAGAATGTAGATATGAAATGCTGAATCATATTTACGACTTTCATGTATATATTGATCTGGTTGGAAGAGTGTTCTTCAAAGAAAAGGCGACTTTCGTCAGTCACCAATAATGACCGGGTTCCCTCTAGGAAGTGACAGGTAAAGTGCTAGTGCTACTGTATTAGTTTTTAAGCTTGCCCGGTTGGTCTTCGGTGTATATGGTAGCCTAAAACCACGTGTTGACACCAAGTTTGTTTTGGTCACAGTTTAAGAACCCACAGCTGTAGCAAAGAAATCAGTATTAGAGAAAAAATGTCTAGCTAACTTGGAAATATTGTGAAGGGCTTGGCAATGATTAAAAACTGAAAGTTAATTTGTTTTTCTATTTATATCGTCTTATTTAACAACTACATCCAACATCACTTAAAAGGAATTGCAACTGCAATTCCCAGTTGTGTTTTTCTCAAAAAGAGTACAGCATCCTAATCGACTTGGGCGCCAGGACAAATAGACGTCTTTGAAGGCTCCATCGTGATTGTCTGATCGCTGAAAGCAAGCCTCTTGATGTAGAAACATTTCACTGAACCTCATTTGATATTATAGAGCAAGAATATTTAAGAAAACCTCTCCAACAACAAGAATAAAATAAACACGGAATATTGACTTCGAAGAGACTGTAAAGTAGTAGATGATGTAAAAGAACTACTAAAAAAAGAAAGTGTGCACGGCACTCAGGGTACGGCGTGCGGGATACCGTAAATAACCTTTACGGGACAGCGCAAAAAATTAGATCAGGATGACGGGACTGAAAAACCCTATGGTGACCCTCTTTTACCTCTGTACTATATTCCTGCAACAGGGTATTACCTTCGATTGTAAGAGAGTGTTTGAGTAGAATATTTGAAAGAGGTCTAAAGAGGATTTGGACTTATGTCCCCATAACAAGGCTCATTATATTTCATTAGGTCGGTGTCCTGAGGAGCATCGAAGCGACTCTGCTAGTTAGCAGAGTCGCTTCGATATTTCCTAGATAAGTCGAAGTAAGACTCTGTTCGCAGGGTACCTGAGGAGTCGACCCAAGAGATCAATGTTTCTGTTTAGCAGTTCTCTAGTGATATCAAGGCAATGTGAACGATAAAAAAAAACAGAAATAACGACAAAGTCAGGTCAAACGGATAATTTTTATTAAAAACAAATGCAGTCTATCCCTTCCTGATTAAATAATTCGCTGTTTCGAAGATAACAATAGCGCTGATTTTCCATGACTTGTCCTTGATATACGACCTTTTAAATAGGAATCGGATATTTTTTATAGTAGATCATGACAATGATTTTTCAGGCCTTTTCTTCAGTGAGAATAAGTAATGATTAATATTGGCTACACCTACTAAAATGGGATGGAGAAGTGTTGAAAAATATTAAATACGATGGTGTACGTGGATTTCTTGTGTATCCGCCGGATCCATCATTTAATAAATACATGCTTTCAAAGCTTGCAAATAAACTAACATTAAGTTAAGAAATGGGTGATGGTTCCCAATGGTTAGGTTGGTGACTAGCTGATCACTGATATTGCAAAAAGTCTAAAAGTCGGCAACTGACAGACAACTGCCCGACTTGCTACACAGGCAATTTTTGACGCTGGCAGTTATGAGTCACCCCGGGTGAGTCACAGGTCACTGATAACGGACAATAGATCCCCAAGATCGGAATGTAAGCCAAACAAGCAGATATTGAAGCTGTAATTTGATGGTCACGATAGGGGTTAATGCCCGGGGGGGACTCCGCATATGAAAGGGGTGGGGATGCTCGTCGGAAATTTTGAATTAAACACCTAAAGGAGACGGATCAGGGCGTGGCCCAAGCTTTTTTTGACCCCTAAAAGAGACCATGTTAAAACACAGACAATATATATACCTTTATACTTTTTCGCGTGCAACCCTGAACGAGACCTTCACGGCTAAATATGATGGCGTTTTGCCCAGAACACCCTAAGTGAGAGCAAAATCCGAAATTTATTAAGTGAGACGACGAGCATCTCCACCCCTTTCATATGCGGAGTTCCCCCCCGGCGCGCCCCCCTTGAGGTTTTTAAGGCAGCGTGAACTATATATTTCTGTATAGGAATTTATTTATCTATGCTAATTGCATAAAGAGCCCCTAGGTAAATACTGAGGGAAAATCACCAAAAGGTATGGTGATGCTCAAATTACAACGTCAATATATAAATGCGCCCATATTCCTAAGCTTGCGCAGCCTGTGACTGGAAATAAAAGGAGAGTATAGTGATACTTTTACTCGCCAGTCTGGCCTGCGTCGCTGACACTATTAACCCTCTGTATCTCCAATCTAACCAGCATGGACTGACAAGTTCTTAATTCGACTGAGAACTTGAGGTACTTTCCACAGTCAAATTGTTGAAGTCAACTTTCCTGCTTCTCGAATGGCCAAAACACTTGATGTTGCGGAAGAGCTTGGCAATGGCCTTCCTGAAATTCTCAAATCGCCACGCATAAACAAACGGATTCACGCCAGAATTAGCCAAAATCAAAAGAAAGTGGGCATCTCTCGCCCAGTGAATAAAATTACAGCTGCACGTTGAACAAAGATTGGTGATGTAAATACAAACACAAGAAGGAAGATAACATGCCAAAAATAAGGCAAGCATTATCATAAATGTCTTGGTTACTTTCTGTTCCCATCTTATGGCCTGTCTCTTGGCTTGACTGGCAGAGTTCGCGTGATCCAACGAGTCCCACTGTTTAACTTGATCCTTAAACACGCGAAATATTTTCACGTAAGTCAGTAACATAACCAGAAACGTAGCGATAATCACGGTATGAAGGAAGACAAACGAGTACGTCAAGTATCCAGTGAGGAGGTATATAAAGGGAAAGCTAAGCGAGAAGGCCCAAATCCCCGCAGCCACAAATGCAGTTCGCTTAGCACTCAGTTTTACTCTGTAAGAAAGAGGAGATGTTATTGCCCAAAAGCGATCCATTGTCAAAGCAGCCAGACTGAGCACAGAGGCTGTGGAGGAAACAAAGTACGGAATGTGGATGTATACCAGTTCAGTCGGGTATTTCTTCGCAATTCCTTCGCTTAAATGAAACGCTACCGACAATGGATCCACTACAAATCCCACCAGAAGATCAGCGAAGGCTAAGTTCGCAACAAAGTAGTTAAACGGCGATTTGAGATCTCTGTTCGGGTCGATGAAGATGGCTAAAACGACGAGAATGTTTCCAGTTATGGTCACTAAACTCATGACGACAGATACTGTCGCGGTGGTATACGAAATGTAACTCGGTGGAATGGTCTCATTGATGCATGGGTATTCACCAAACAAAGACATCCTTTAACCGAAAAATGTTCACTTACAACGACTTTACCGTGGTCTGACTTCCTGTGCAATAATTCTGCAAGTCGTGATGTATTTCATGCATGGCCAATGTTGGTTTTCACATGACGTCACTAAAACTATCGATCCTACCGATTGTAGCATCCGGATGAGCTCCAGCATGGAGTTTCAAAAGACCAAAATTCTCGTCAAGATTCATTGAAGATTGAGCGATTTTACATCCATCACCGGAAACAAGAGAGATCTCTCTTGCCGGAAATGATATGAAGAATAGAACGACGACCGAGAGAAGCTGGGCCTTGTTGTACCCAGCACTCCATCCGTTTTCAAAATGGCGGGTTTTTAGCAATACGGAAACCGTTCCTTTCCTTTTTTGCTTTAATTTTTGATTTTGTTGTCTGTAATGGAATTCCAGCCCGTATAAAGTTTCCAAAGAGGATGGAGGGATCTGAACTTCGTCAAATACGCGTTGTAAACAACGACATTTCTTTTGGAAAAACCCAGCAAGATGAAGAGACGGTACACAAAACTAATTAAAGCTTGTCAAATTTGCTTTCAAATGTGTCAGGCTTAAAATTGTAAACACCTTTCGTGCTTTTGAGCACCAGTACTAGTGTCTTTCGAGATCAAACTTCAAAAAATATTTTGCAGTTAATTTAAAAACTGTTGCACTGGTTACCTGCGGGTTTAATAATAGGTTTAATGCTCAGTGGATCGATGACTTCTTGCTTTTTTGTTTGTTTTTTTTTTAGCATTTTGTGTTCGATGTTTTTATATGAAGTGTGTGTTGTTAGCCATGGGGTGGTTTTGTAACTGTACTTGTGTTAAGTTGGGGAGAGTGGGTTTTGCATTATGAGTAAGGTGAAATGTACGTACTGTTGCTGTGGTTAATTTTTTTTACCTTGATGCAAATGTTTCTTCCTTTGTATTTAGGTATGGTTATGTACATTGTACAGAATAACGTGTAATTTAAAATACGCAATAATCAATAAAATAGAAACACATGATAGAGTTATGTATTGGTGGCTTTCATGCAATCCCGGGAGACACAAATAACAACGGTGAAATGAACAAATGCTGGTGGACAAACAAAGCGAGCTAATGAGCGATCTTTTGTTTACCGTCCACCAGCATGGCGGCGATGACGTAATGCGAAAACCACCTATGGTAACTTTGATCTGTTTACTAAATTATTTGCTGAAGTTCCTTATTTTTGTTTTATTGTCAACAGCTGCAGTTACATGACTTGCACTATACAGGGGATTCTACCTTCCTTCCAGGACCCTTTCAGCACAACAAAAAATTTGCCTGTGTTTTTCTTCCGTGTGCTGTGCCACTGTTTTACATTGGAGGAGAATTGTATGTATATTTATCTAGATATTTTGACAGTAGTACTAAGTCCCAAGGAGGGGGGGTGGGGGGTTAAGCCCCATAAGCTTTATATTAAAAATATCTTCTTAGCACATTAGTTTATAAGATAGGTTTTAAAATGTTATTCTTGTTGTTTACAGGTTGTTTGGATCAGCAGTTTTTTGTCTTCTGATAACATATCTTGTAGACAACACCTCGAAGAGTAAACAAAGGTACATGATATATAAGAACAGCAGAACTTTTTTTTGGTTATATTCACTTGTCTTACAAGGCACATTATGCTTGAAAAAACCAATTAGACTAGAGTAGCATGCAAGTACACTAATAATACTTATTATTATTATTAACTAACGAGTTGCTTAATTGTGTCATAATGATTTTTAGAGTAAACAAAGATTCAATTCCAAGGATAGAAAAACTTACCCTTATTATACACAAGCTTTCGATTTGATCGCAGAATAATGATTCATGCTAATAATCATTCACTAATAAATTAAATATTAAAATCAAATTTGTTTTTGTATTTTAATGTACGTTTAAAATTGGCCTTGTTTTTAAAAAGCCAACTGTAGTTGTCTCCTGCCAATTGGAGTTTTTATCCTGTTATGTTATATTAATATTTTGTATCTCCTGTTTCAAACTATTTAAGTGAAGAGCCTGAAGACAAAGCTCTTTTTTTTACATTTCAAACAAAGCCATAGCCCTGTTTACTTTAAGCTCAATTTTCACTGTCTATTGTAATTGAGGTAAAAAAAAATTCATGAAAATTTATAATGAATTATATTGCCTTTTTATTTTCAGTTCTTTGGTTGCCTATGTTCTTTCAGTGCTAATTTTCCAGTTAACATCTGTGTATTGTCTTGTTCCATTTCTTTGGTAAGTTTGATAGCCACTTGTACAGGTTGCCAGTATTTAGTCTTGCGTGCATGCAAAAAGTTTTTACAGAATGATTCATGTAAAAATTGTTTGTGTTACAAAAAATGAAATAAAAAAATCAGAAATTATTAAATATTATTTTCTCTTGTTTGTCTCAGGAAATCGGTGTTTAATCTGGGTCTCATATTTATTTACAATGTATTCATTGTGCTGTCAGGTAAGATTGCACTTTCTGTTTCATGAACTATTGCAGATTTATTTATTTTGAAGTAATTACACTGTACTTATACACTTTCTTTATAACCACGACATAATATTGCTTTTAGTTGAACATTAAGAAGTCTAATCATAGAGGGGTATGACTGCTTAATTTTTAAAGACTACAGCCACATTATGCTGTCTTGTAGGTGGGGTTGGTCTTCTTCAGTTCAAGCAATTACAGACTGAAGAGCCTGAATTTGTTAAGGTATAAGAGCCAATTCTTTTGGAGTATGTAATGTGAAGTATGGAGTATTCATATGTATCATGTGGCACAAAATTTTTGCGGGTTCTAATTTTTGTGATTTTTTCAGCAATCCGCAAAAATAAGTTCCTGCAAACATTTTTCCCACAAAAATTTAGTCCAGAGTAAATATTCTCTAACTTAAATTCGCTACACAAAAATACAGTACTAAGAGATTGTGTTTGTTCAATTACAACTTTTACTTGCCTCTTTCATTCAGAAACAAGACAGTTTACAATGAATGACTGGTTTTACATAGGGTACGCATGCCGTAGTTCTATTTCGGTTGCACATACTCAACAAAAATGAAAATACTATCAATGCTGAGTACTGGGTACTTTCTGAAAATCGCAAAAATTAATTCCCATCGAGAAAAACCTATCTGTCCTAATTGCAAAAGTTAGTTCCCGCAAAACAAAAAATCGCCAATCCACAAAAATAAACTTCCGCAAAAATTTCATGGCAGACGGTATAGGCAGACACCCATAGGACACCTCTGCTGGTGTCTGCCTAATAGAGGTGTCTGCTAGACACTAAGTTTATTTTACTCAAAATGTGGGAGGTGCCACATATGAAATTAAGCTATTTGTCCACTAAATACAGGGTGTCTGCTTAATACTGGTTTTGCTGTAAAAAAGTATAAATCAATTTGTCCGTGAGAGTCAAGGTTTTAATTTTCTAGATCCATATTGCAAAACCCAAAAAGAACGTATTCTACAGAAGCAAGGTCAAACTATTATTGTTCTCTCAAGACATTTTGACATCATGTCGTATTTTTCACATCGCCAACAGTTCCCTGGTGACGTAACAGTTGACTGATCAACACTGTCAAAGTCTTATTTACATGTACATTGTTATTTTCTTTTCATTCAGAACGTGGAATATGTCCTGTATATTAGTTATCCAATCGTTGGCCAGTTGACCTTGACTGCAGTGGCGGGAAATGTTTTCAGCTGGGCTGTGTCTCCTTTCTTTTGTATTTTATTTGGGTATGTACCAGTCTAAATTATACATAAAACAAAGTATAATTATCGCATATAGCACTGTTTAGATGAACGGGAAGGAATTTTTATCTGAAGTGATTTTAAAGTACTTGTAAAAGCAAAGAAAATTAAAGGTCAAGCTAGTTGGAAACTTTTTGGATTCACCAAAACGTATTTGAATCACAACCTACATTCAATAATATGCATTTTTTTATATTTCAGATTTCTTTTTCTACAAATCTTTTATCCACGAAGTAAATCATCCTTTTCCTACCAGAGATTTGTTCATAGAGTAGGGGAAGAAAGACCTCCTGAAAGTAAGTATAATTTAAATCTAAAACTAAATGTCTGATCTGCAAAGGGCAGTACAGCCCATCTTCACCAGCTGTGCTCGTGCTATATGTGCTAAAAACAGTGCAGCGAATTTGTGCTGGTGATATAAAATAAAAAATGTTCAAATGCTCAATGGGGCCTGACCTGGGCCCTCAAGGCAAGCTTGAAGGCCTCTGTGTTGGCAGCTTCAATAACTGAGTAATTAAATTTGCACATATCACATGCTTATGTCATTGTTCTCTAACATCCTGAATACACTCTAAAGAGCCTCAGAGGTTACTAATAAGAAGAATGTCTAAAGGTATTCACCGTCCCTTTAAGGAATCAATTAATATCATCGTCTTAATTACCTTGGTCCCATCTTCACAACTCTGCAGATAAAAGTAAATAATAATGTTCCTCTTAATGACGTAGATTTTTACTTTATTTGCTTTTAGGTTTTATTCTCAGCAGTCTTGAAAAGACACTGTTACTTTTCATCCTAATCTCTGTGCCTGGCTCTATGTTTATTGTTATCAATTTTTTGGATCTCATTCATTTTATTACTTGGGTAGGTACTTTGTATGCATAGTTTACTGGTAGTGTTAGAGTTTTAACTGCTTTTCACTGCTGCTAGAAATCATTTACTCTTGAATTGGGCCTTTTAATAAGCCTTTGAAAACAGCCAACATTTTGTGATGCCACCAGTGGTTGCCCGTAAGTGACGTCTGGGGAATAAATGTACAACTTCCTTACTGATGATACATCACTACTGAGGTCTAGGTATAAGTGCTTCTTACTGGATGAAGCAAGTTTTCAACAGTTGAAAACTTGCTAATTAGTATAATTATTATACTAATCAGAGGCACTACCCAGATCTGAGTCATGATGCGCCATCAGTATGGAATTTCTTTTGCTGGTTCTTCAGTACTGTTACATTTTGTGGGAAAAGTAGTGGTGAGGTTGCAAAATGTCGGCTGTTTAATCAGGCTACCATAATTTTAATAATTGTTAAGACTCAATAGTTCAACAGTTATTTGATGTCTTAACAGGTGAAACTTCTGTTATGTGGCATTCTTCCTGTCTTTCTTTGTACATGTCTGGACATCAGAGAAGAGATGGAATTCTTAGGTGACTTCAATATTATTAGTCTCCTGTGTAACCGTCTTTGTGTTTTATGTTGTGCAAAACTGCAGCTCTTCTTGCTTGACACAGAGAATTGTTGGGTTACAAGGTGACCACATCTTTATTGCGGACTGAGCGAACAGTGTATAGATGAAGGTCCCTTAAGGTTGTTTTTATGTACAGCTAACTAAATGTAAATAAAATTACCATATTTTACTTTTTCTTTTTTGATTAAGGCATTGAAGAATGTTGATCAAAATTCTACACACACTTTTCAAACAGTTATGATTTGATATTTTTTACTTTTACTTTCCCCAGAATTTTCCAAAGATAATGTAGCTAAAGTAAAATTAGGATGTGGCCTGGGGAGTATGGTAAGAAACAGTCTGTTTGGCTTTTTTAATGTACAAACATACTGCATTCAAGTTGAAAACTGAAGTTGCATTATTTTAAATGGAACTTTTGAATATCTCAGTCTGTTAAACTCACACAGTTTAAACTTGTACCAGTAATCTGTATATTCTCTTTTTGCCTCATAGAGCGGTTTTCACTTGACTGTCGAAAGGGATTGGTTTTGGTTTTGGTTTTGGTTTTACTACGCCCTTTGGTTGGCTAGTGTATTTACTTTGGTTTTGGTTTTACGACAGTCAAGTGAAAACCGCTCTATATGTGTACATGTACATAAACAATATATGTATAGACATTGTGTAGTATTTCACCAACTATTCAGTACTGTGTTTTTCCTTCATCCTAAGGGCATAAAATGTTTTTATAAATTCATCACTGCAGCAATATACCTCTCACTCAAGTACTTGTTTTTATCTGTTTCATAACTATATCAGATCCTGTTGAGTGTCATATTAATGTTGTCTGGCTCTGTTGGTGTGCAAACATTCCCACTTATGATCGGGAACATGATTTGTGGGGTACTTATTTGGATCATAAATAGTCGAGACAAGTGGAAGGTATGCTCTCCTTTCTGGTACTTTTCAAAACTCTTTTGGTTGCATCATAGGTCAGTAAGGGAAAACAGACTTTTAGTATTATTGCCTTCAGTGTACCATTCTTTTCTGAGAGAGGCAAGTGTTTGACCTGAGAAATACATGTAGCTTCAGATCATAAAATATTATACTCAAAGTATCTTGAGGCCTGTTTATTCGTATATGACTATGTTTGTTCATAATTTTCACTTCATGGTCCTTAACGTTTCCATGAAAATACTCTTCACTGTTGAAGTGACCCAGCTTATAATCAAATGCTTTTTAGTATGAATTTATTGCATTTTTTGTAACAAAAAATCTGGCAATGGCTACATTTCCTGACACATGACCTTCTGTAAATCATTATTGCAGGTTTACCAGTTTATGCCGTATGTAGGGCTCATTATTCTGACCTGCCTTGGACTGTTTACAATGCCATGGTCACTTTTGTATCCTTAATGACCTGCATGATTAAAATCTTTGATAGCAGATAATAAATTAGACAAAATTCAATTGAATGTTAGAGTTGTTAGTATTTTGCTGAGGGACCCATATACTTTTAAAAAGTGATGCCTTGGCCTGAAAAGTCAGAGGCTTGTATATGTTTTATGTTTTGTGACTTTTGTGTTAAATTTTCTCACAAGCAAACTATTTCCCCTCATTCTTAAGAGGAGTCCTCCTGCTGTCAGCTGAGGTGATCCATTAGTTTTTACAGTGAATAACCTTTGGTTTTTGTTGTTGTTGTTTGTATAGGATCTTTTTTCACTGTTTTTTTTTTTTTTGCCCTTTTTTTTTTTATGGGTGCCTGTTTTAACGTGCCTATTTTCAATTTTCCAAAATCAAAAACAACGACTCACAACAAGATAGTTTTTCAAGTCTCTCTATTGATCAGGAAATCAGCCTATAGTTGGGCTGCCTGTGTAAAGTGAGAAGTGGAGTGTCCAATATTATGTCTTTATTTCAGGGCTGTCACTAAGATTTCAAGTTATGATGGGTAAACAGCTAGGGAATTCCTTTGGTTCTATTATCCTATGAAAGTAGCCAGTGGCCTGTTCTCAGTCGCCGGGAGAAATTCCTGGCCCCTGCCTCTTATTGACAGTCCTGTTATTTTAAATCCTCAGTGCTACCTATGATTAAAGGCCCTTGACATATACATCAGTCATCCATTCCATTTCTTCTCTCTACCGTTGTGGGGAGTAAACTTGCTTCTTTGCTTTGTTAGTTGTCTTTCAGTGGTATGTGTTTTTGTTGCTTCTGCTGGAGCTTATAGTGAATGGTTAAATCCTCTTTTGGTGATTCACTCGTTAGGTAAGGCACTTCTCAACCTTATCATAAGATTTTTTGTTGTCTTATATAATTTTTAAAAAGATAGCACCTTACTGACAGATTACGGACAAATCACCAACAGTTGGGTAATAGCTAAGAAATGCAATAAGGGAGGATCGAAACTCAGTAGATGACTGACCGTTCACCCATAACAGGCCAGAGGCCCGATTTTAGTGCGCGCAGGAGGAGGCCTAATCTCCACAGCAACCGCCGCAAATCGGTTTCCAATAACAGACAAGGTAATTAGTTTTAAGCATTCCTCCAGACACCTTTGGAGAGTGCCGGACACATTTCCTGTCAAGGAACTTTGTACTTCTGATTAAACGAACCAGACATCTCAAGGAAACGCGAAATTTGATCAGACTATTTGGGTATTATAAATTCATTTCACGGTCGATTGAAAATTTGGAAGTCGATCTTCGCGCCTCTGGCTTCGCAATTGATAACTACAGTTTTCTCGCCGCATTTGGATTCAAATAGGCTTGATACGCTTTCAATGGTTTTTCAAGTGCTTTTTAAGAAAATAGTGCTCCGATGGCTTATTTAACTTCTGCCAAGAGTGGTATGCCGTGTCAACATTGGTGACCTTCGAGCGAAAACAGCGAGTCGGCGTATCAAGTTTTTACTGTGGAGCCGCAAGTAGGAATACACTCTCTGCTGGCACATCTTTCTCCGGTTTGGAAGGAACTCAGCTTGAAATGACCCTGACCAAAGAAATTTTTAAATCTTCTCTATTTGAACGTTTGAGAAAAGCCGTCAACAATGCACATTTTATAGTCGCCGGAGAAAACGGCGAGAGCTCGAGCTCTACTTCACATCCCCTTGAGGAACAGCAACACCGATTATCTGATTCAATGGACTACCTTTTTGATCAAACGGCGAAGGATTCAAGTCTTTTTTTCTCTTGCTTAAGACGATGTAAGCGTCGATGTGCCTCCAGTGACAAATCACTCTCCAAAAAAAGCCCGCCAAGCACTGTCGAAATCCCGCCAAAATCTTATTCGCTGGAAGGAGCCCAAGACGCTGGATTACTCCAGATATTCTAGCTTCCACTTCAACATCTTCGTGTTCAAGGCGTGGGCGATCTGTATAATCAACGTCACAGATACAGTATGGTTTCTATATCAGTCATTTTAGCCTCCTTGAAATGTCAATCATAATCCAAAAATTATTATTTCAGGTTACCTTTGTATTGTTACTTGCTTTTTACTTAATTAATAGGCCACATTATAGGGCTACCCTCTCCCTCAGAGCTTACAGGCGGCGCCCCAAGATTCTGAGGTGAAGGTAGTCTCTTTTTGAAATGTCGGTCATAATCCAAACAATTTTTGTAGGTTATTTTTGTAGTGTCATAGGCCAAATTATAGGGCTACCCTCTCCCTCAGAGCTTACAGCTGGCGCGCCCAAGATTCAGAGGTGAAGGTAGTCTTTCTTTTAAAATGTCGGTCATAATACAAATTATTTTTGTAGGTTGTTTTTGTACTGTCATTTGTTTTTGAAATAGGCCAAATTATGGGGCTACCCTCTCCCTCAGAGCTTACAGGCGGCGCGCCCAAGATTCTGAGGTGATGGTAGTCTCTCTTTTGAAATGTCGGTCATTATCCAAATTATTATTGTAGGTCATCTTTGTTTTGTCATTTGTTTTGAAATAGGCCAAATTATGGGGCTACCCTCTCCCTCGGAGCTTACAGGCGGCGCGCCCAAGATTCTGAGGTGATGGTAGTCTCTCTTTTAAAATGTTGGTCATTTATCCAAATTATTATTGTAGGTTATTATTGTAGTGTCATTTGGTTTTGAAATAGGCCAAATTATGGGGCTACCCTCTCCCTCGGAGCTTACAGGCGGCGCGCCCAAGATTCTGAGGTGATGGTAGTCTCTCTTTTGAAATGTCGGTCATTATCCAAATTATTATTGTAGGTTATTATTGTAGGTCATCTTTGTTTTGTCATTTGTTTTGAAATAGGCCAAATTATGGGGCTACCCTCTCCCTCGGAGCTTACAGGCGGCGCGCCCAAGATTCTGAGGTGATGGTAGTCTCTCTTTTAAAATGTTGGTCATTTATCCAAATTATTATTGTAGGTTATTTTTGTAGTGTCATTTGTTTTTGAAATAGGCCAAATTATGGGGCTACCCTCTCCCTCAGAGCTTACAGGCGGCGCGCCCAAGATTCTGAGGTGATGGTAGTCTCTCTTTTGAAATGTCGGTCATTATTCAAATTATTATTTTAGTTCTTCTTTGTAGTGTCATTTGTTTTGAAATAGGCCAAAATATGGGGCTACCCTCTCCCTCGGAGCTTACAGGCGGCGCGCCCAAGTTTCTGAGGTGATGGTAGTCTCTCTTTTGAAATGTCGGTCATTATCCAAATTATTATTGTAGGTTATTTTTGTAGTGTCATTTGTTTTTTAAATAGGCCAAATTAATTATGGGGCTACCCTCTCCCTCAGAGCTTACAGGCGGCGCGCCCAAGATTCTGAGGTGATGGTAGTCTCTCTTTTGAAATGTCGGTCATTATCCAAATTATTATTGTAGGTCATCTTTGTTTTGTCATTTGTTTTGAAATAGGCCAAATTATAGGGCTACCCTCTCCCTCGGAGCTTACAGGCGGCGCGCCCAAGATTCTGAGGTGATGGTAGCCTCTCTTTTGAAATGTCGGTCATTATCCAAATTATTATTGTAGGTCATCTTTGTTTTGTCATTTGTTTTGAAATAGGCCAAATTATGGGGCTACCCTCTCCCTTGGAGCTTACAGGCGGCGCGCCCAAGATTCTGAGGTGATGGTAGTCTCTCTTTTAAAATGTTGGTCATTTATCCAAATTATTATTGTAGGTTATTTTTGTAGTGTCATTTGTTTTTGAAATAGGCCAAGTTATGGGGCTACCCTCTCCCTCAGAGCTTACAGGCGGCGCGCCCAAGATTCTGAGGTGATGGTAGTCTCCCTTTTGAAATGTCGGTCATTATCCAAATTATTATTGTAGGTTATTTTTGTAGTGTCATTTGTTTTTGAAATAGGCCAAATTAATTATGGGGCTACCCTCTCCCTGAGAGCTTACAGGCGGCGCGCCCAAGATTCTGAGGTGATGGTAGTCTCTCTTTTGAAATTATAATTGTAGGTTATTTTTGTAGTGTCATTTGTTTTTGAAATAGGCCAAATTAAGGGGCTTCCCTCTCCCTCAGAGCTTACAGGCGGCGCGCCCAAGATTCTGAGGTGAAGGTTGTCTCTCTTTTAAACTGTCAGTCGTCAACCATAGTATTATTGAATTTTCATTTTCCAGAGTTCATAGTGGTACCTTCTTTATAGTTTTACGTGATTTGTGGCAAAGACAAGACCAGGCTAACAAATTTATTCTACTTTATGCGTGGTGCGACAATCACCGTGGCTGACTTGCCTCCAAAGTTCCTTTATAATTTGGACGCTTCTCAGGAGTTCCTTCACTGCTTGTAATCCAGAATTGGCGATTCTCAGCAGCTTGAAGCTCTTGCTTTTCATCAGTTGTTCCTTGGACGGCGACCTTTTCTTGTCCCGAGTACAATATCGATTCTCGATTCTCGACTCTCGATTACCGTATCTTGCTGGTGCAAGGTTTCGGCAACGGGACCAGTACTAAAACCATTGCAGGAATATCACTGCCAAACTGCGCAACAGAATGCACGAAAAACCTCTCCGGTAGTTGAAAAAAAAGAAAAAGAACCTGCGATGTAATTAGGTAACTTATTCATGGTGTTCAGCTTCCGGTTTATTCAGCTTATCGCCAGTTGTAGGCAAAGTTCACTCGCACATTATCGCATTCTAACTGGGTCGATTGTGAGGAAACTGTTATGTCAGTCATTGACTAAAAACCCCCGCGCGTTAAGCCTTTGTGCGACGGACGTCCCTTAGAAATATAAATTGCCCACACTGATCACCAATTCTACTTGCAAAGTGTTGCTGATTGAGTTCTGTAATGTATTCTAGAGTGTAAATTTAGTACTAACCTCGCAGACAAGGATGCAATGAGACATTTATTTTGCGTAGTTAGGCCTGCTATCCATTGGGCAACCATCCCTTTTATTTTCTTTCGATAGCCTGTCCATGCACTAACCTTTGGGTACAGAAACTAGCTGCCTCTCGCTGTACCAAAACTTGATAGTTTTGGCGTTCAATATTTTTAACGGATGCTCACAAAACACCGGGACTGCATCGTGCGCCTTTGGCGCTTTGGTATCCTTCGAGCTTTGGTTCATCGCGTTTTGAAAGATGGAAATTTTGATATTCCCGCGAAAAAGAAGACCGATAAAACGCATCTTTCATTGACTACGGTGAAACGCCCTGAAATGAAGGATGTTTTGAAAGAAACGGGAAAACTGATAAAAGTAAATATTTGTTTTGATCAAGTGAAATTAATGAGAAATAACCATAAACTAGTTTTGTGTTTTTGTTTTTAAAAGCGGTTTGTCTGGTACCAGATTTGTACAATTACTTTGAATCAAACATGGATCGGGTTTTGTTAATTATGACAGAATGTAATTAAAAAGCATTATGTTGACAGCTACAAGGCACATGCTTGCCTTAAGCTGCGAGTATCCCGCCATGTTTTAAACAAAGGGCCTCTGACCAAGCCGGCATTCTAATCCGCCACAAATATGTGAAGCACGCGTCTTTCAAAGTCGCCTAGTACTTAAAATCGGCGCTCTGGCCTGTTATGAACTTAGAATGAAAATGATGTGTGTGTTGGCTGGCCAACTGTTGTTCAACTGTCAGTGAACTGTCAGTAGACAGTCAGTTGTGGCATTGCTCTTCACAATTATCTCTTAATTGCAGGTTTTGTATTGTCTGAAAATATTCTTGCAACAGAGAAGCTCTATCCGAGTTACTCTTTATTGGGAACTATGCTTTTTGCTGGTTACATCTCTGAAAGGTACTGCACATTGTATGACTGTAAAATACTCTGATTGTCTTTAGGTCTGAGAACAAGTAATTAGTATGTGTGTTTGCATAAAAAATGAAAAAGATTCTCACTCCTCTCATGGAAGATTGCTGTGACTTTAAGGAGCGATTGATTTGTAAACTGTGTCAAACATGTAAGGGAAAGAACTGAGCTAAATCTGGATGATTCATGGGTGGGAAGGTGGGGGAAAGTTAACACCTTCAGTAGTAAAGGACACAGGGATTCTTCCTTAAAAAGAAAACAATTTTATTGTTAGTAGATGGACATTATAATTGAAGACCAACCTACATGTTTACATAACTTTCACAAAGCTTTTACTGCTGTAAGAGATAGGGAGAGAGACATTCATTTTGCAGTGGGTGTAATTAGCAGGTGCCAAGGTGTGTCTTCAAAGGTTCTTTAGCATAAGCCCTGTCCCCTTATCATATGACATTCAGTTACATCTGCATCATTATGTGTAAACTAATAAAGATAATCGCAAGTATGATTGCAGTCCAGATTAGATGACACAAAGTTGTGTTACCCGTATTAATCATAACTATAACAAATTTGCATGTGCATGTGTGCTGTGCAATATTACTTAAGCATGATGCACACTGTTCCATGGCGCTGTCTTGTTAATTCTGAAAACAGGGCTACTGATAGCCAATCAGATTTGAGAATTTTTTCAAGTTATGGTCAAACCCAGTATACATTATAATAATCATATTTACAGGCTTCACAGTGTTGGCAAGCTGAACTTACAGTCCATGTTACTCTGTATTGCAATCCATGGTTCCAAGGTACCCCTGTGTCTCTCAATGGTCCTTCCCTACTCTCCAGTAGCAGCCTCTGTATTGCTTCCCAGTCTGTTCCTGATTTCACCTTCAGTTCTGATGTTTCTCTTTACATTTGCTGTGGGCAAAGTTATTGAGGCTCCAAGAGATATGACTTTGAACGAGGTAAATTTTATCCTGTGTCACAGAGTGGTGTTTTACTGATTGACATGAAGCTTTAAGATGAAGGCAGTTTTAAAAGAATGGGATTTATGCTCCCCCTTTTCCACCCAAGTTCCACTCCTGTCTTCTGTGCTACTAACGATGCCAATGAATTGCATCTTTGCAGTCAACAGTCATTGCTTGGCATCCATTGTACAATTGCTGGAGTTTTTGAAAACATTAAGAAAAAAGGCAAAGCAGAAAGGGCTTAACAATAGTTTGGAGTAGTTTTTGTTTTGTTGTTTTGTCTTGCAAGAAAAATGTCTCACATTAATACCATAGCTGTACAGGTACCAGGGTATATGCAGTTTTATTAATTAGTGCTGCATTGAACAGCTAGGAAATTCTTTTTTGTTCTTTTTTCCTTTTGCTTCCTATATAAGAAGCAGGAGGTCATGCTCAAAGGGAAATCCCCAGCCCCCAGTCCTTAGTGAACAGCCCTACATAAATACATAATATTGGAGGTATATTGAATTAATTATTTCTTTTTCTCGTCTTGAAATCAATATTTCACTGCAGTCTCTCAGGATTTGTCGCTTCGATATCTGCCCATTTTTTACATGTTAATTCTCGATATCTTGTTCTTGGGAGGAGACAATACCCCAGTTATTTTGATACGTAAAAAATGTGCAATCTATCACACCCTTAGATGACAAGAAAAAAATTGCAAGTGTCACTATAGTGTGAAGAAGTCAAAATAATTAAGTGTATCATTTTCCTTCTTGTTTCCGCCAGGGCTTAAAGCTCTGCATAGTTTCAGGAATTGCTACAATTTTTGCCTACGATGTCTTAATCCTCCCACTGTGGTTCATGATGACCCATAGAATTCCTTCACTTCCTGATGTATTTGGTAAGTTTGTTACTGTACGAAATTGCAAGTTTAAAAACTGTAGAATATAATGATATAAAAGGAAAGAAATTTTGCTCTCTTTTACACCATTATTTTTAGAGACATGTCTGAAATGAATGGTAAACCATTAAGTTTTGTTCACTAAAAAGTACAGTTGTTTTATCCTTAAAGTTACCTTTCTAAACTGAACAGCCAAATAAGAGCCACAGTAATTTTTTGTTTCTTCTTTCCTTCTTTTCTTCTTCTACTCTATTTTACGCGCATTTAAGCGATACCTTTGTTGGTAAAATATTGGGGTTTTGTCCGGAAAACTGTACGCGATACCAAAATCTGCAGTTTACATACCCCAAACGAGACGACGAACATTCCTGCAGTAATGTTTGCTCATTATTTTGATTACCTAACGTGAATGTTCTCTGATTTTCTTTCAGCTGCAGTTCTGTTCATCTGGGGAACTTTGTGCCTCAAACTCTCTCACGTGCACTTCTCACATAATCTTTTCCTCAAAAGACTCAATGTGCTTGTCCTTTGTACCAGTGTTTTGTTGGAGATTCTTCAACCAGACTTAAACATTTACAGGGTGCGTGTACCATTTTCTCTTCTTCAATCGAAAAACCTTCTTCTTTTAATGTCAAAAGTTGGTTTGCAAACTAACTTTTACAAGTAGATGATGATCATCCTAGGTACTTGTAAGATGCCTTGCTGTTTCTTACAAGTACCTAAGTTGAAAAATTATCTTTACCATCAACAGAAAATTTGCTGTCAATGGTAAAGATGATTTTGAATCAACCGATTTTTTGAGGGAGGACAGGGGATAAGAGCCCAAGGAGTATAGGGGGCAGGAGGGGTACGGGAGGCTCAAAAGGAATGAGCGGGAGGTTGAAGCTCTAAGAGGGCGGGAAAGTGGGAAGCCAAGAAAAAAAGGGTGGGAGCCCTCAGTGTTTATGGGAGTAGGGAGGTTTAGAGCACCGTGTCCCCTGTTCCCGGCCGCTTCCCTAGACTCTTATTAGTCAAAACGAGCAAAAGGAAAAGCGGGGCTGGAGTAGCAACGCAGTTAAAATTATAAACCTTAGGATGTTGCACTTTTACGTACTTGGTGAATGCACGGAAAAATCAAACCTAGGCAAGGACTAACTATTATCGTCATCATAGAACTAGGAGTAACCTTGTATCATGCCCCTGGTACAGAAAACACTGAAGAGAGGGAGTATTTTGACTTGTATATTTGTTTTACTCCTTAGGTGCTGCAAGCACTGTTTGTGTATCTGGTGTGTTTAATCTATCCTCCAGTGTTTACTATTGAAAATATGTTGCTGTCAGAGTAAGTTTTTCTAAATGTTGAACAAATCCTTTTAGGTTTTCTTATCATTATGATAAAGTCATTTGTCCTTATTTCTTGACTTTTCTTTTCTGATTTGTTTGTCCTCAGATCTATTGTTCTTTCCTGGTTTATTCTCATTGCACTAACAGTGTTGATAGCAGTACTTACAAAGGTGATTACCTTGGAACAGTTGTCTTGGTCACAGAGAGTCGTTGTTGCTTCTGTGATTGGTGTAGTTCCTGGACTCAAAAGTTCTGCGTTGGTGAGTGTAAAAAAATCTCATCTTAATCAAGCTTCTACACGACACTTCATGTAAGCGATTTGTTTACATTACTCTGGTGAAAAAGTGCTTTACAGATTTAAAGGCACAGAGAACCAAATATCTTCTGATCAGTGACTCTGTTTTAGGGGTTTGTAGTGACAAGTCATCAGTATGGAATTTCTGCGCTCGTTTCTCAAGGTGGGTTTCCAAAGTCGCGTAATTTTTGCGTGCGTAAATAAAATAGAGACATTAGGGAGCTTAAGCAACAACGTTTTTGAGCGACCCACGTTAACCGGAAGTGGCCTTTTTTCATTTTTTGACGGTAGTTTCGCGCAAATTTTCAGTCAAATCGCCTCTATAACAGTAAAGAAGCTAAGGAATACAATTTTTATATCATCAAGGTATGTTAAGAGGGAAAATACCTCACTTCCGGTTGACGTGCGTCGCTCAAAAACGTCGCTGCTTAAGCTCCCTATTGTAGGAAAGGCCACGCGTATACGTAAAAGTTTAACCTAGCTCAACATTTACGCTTACGTGTGGCCTTTCATACATTGCCTCTATCTCATTCTCGCACGTAAAATTTACGTGCGTTCGCACGGACAAAATTGCGTAACAGTGGAAATCAACCGTCAGACGAATTTCGCGGGGAAGCCAAAAGTGGCGTCGTTAAATATCGGCTGTATTCTCAGGCTATGGTAGAGAGAGGGTATACAAGGCTATCGTTAAATACTCCGAGTGGAGAGTTGATGCTTTAGTGCACTTGTGGTTTGCTTTTTCCTCAGATGGCTCCTGTGTTGCGCCCTCCATTGTTTTGTCTCCTATTTGGAATTTCATCTGCTCTTGTCTTGTATCTATTGATGTCATCTTGGAAGCCGATATTTGGACAGACACTTGTAAATTTCAGGTATTAGTAGAAAATGGAATTTATTCGTTTGTTACTTTTCCGAGTGAGCAACTCGACAAATACAACAACAGTTGTTGTCAAGCATTCGCCTTGTTTCCTCTAACAAAAATCTCCTCTAAAATTTTTTTTCCCCAGCGACATATATAGTTTTTAATAGTTAAAACGGTAGTATAATGGCTCCCTGCTCATGTCCTAGATAAGGAGCCATACGTTTACGTCTATTTGTAAAGCATCCGTTTCTCAGTTTTGAATGACATTGATCGCATATCTACGTTTAGATCTGTGAAACGTTCTAACCGTGCAACGTCGTGGAACGCCTGGGAAATTACGACGGCATTGTTCCCAGTCTTGCGTGTAGACTAAACAACATGGCGTTCGTGGTGGAAAATACCTCTTGAAAACTCCCGAAAATGCCATTTCCGAGACTTTAAATTTCAAGATATCCCTAGATGCCTTGGCCCTCAAGAACTTGTGCCTTTGTTACGAGTTCCAAAGCCGCCTACTATTCATTAACAGCTTGCTACTTAAAAACTTTTTGACAGCCCTGCGTCTAGGCTGAGCGCGTGGGGATCCTGTGGCTCATGCGCGTGCTTGTCTTCCTAGTTGTCGTTATCTTATTTTGGGACATTTGTTTGTTATTATTATTGTTATTATTATTATCGTCATCATCATCATTATTATAATTATCTTTAACTTGCAGTACTCCCTACTTACTACTCGGAGGCTGCTTTGTTGGTTGTCTAATGTCAGAGATGTTAAGCGGTTCCCGCCTTCAATCACATAAAGGTACGTGGAAGTGGATGTCGTGTGCTATCAGATTTGGTTTGATTTCTCATTTCTAGTGCTCAGTATCTGAAAGCTCTACATTGTCATTGTGAAACCTTTGAAGCTGTTTAAATAAGAAAGTCCCATGATCTTAGACTTGGAATTTTGAACAACCTTTTTTCTCTCAAAAGTATTCAAATAGCCCTTGTTAGAATTCCTAGCTTTCTTTTTTCTAAAGCGATTGCATTTAAAAGCGTACTTAAGGATACTATTAGTTAATTGCCTTGATTATAACTGTTTACAAAGCCTTAATCTATAAGACAGTAGGGTGTGCCGTGAAAGGCTAAACTCCTCCCACTATTTTTGTCTCCGATTTCCTTCTTATAAATTTGAATATCTGTACTATCTGAATTCGCAGGACCTCACAAACCGTCACCAGTCTCCCCGAGCTTGTTATATCACTTGTGTATTCACCTTGTTTTGGGACTGGGTCTTAAGAGAGGCTCCGTAACACAGCAAGAGAGCCTGGTAATTAGCTTAGCCCAGTGAATATCATTGTTAACATTTCGAGGTTTTTGCAGTTTCCCGTTTTTTTGTTTTGTTTTTTTTTTTTTAACATCAGTTTACATCAAGTTAAAATTTCTTTTTCAAATAGTTCTTCCGGATCATTATACGTTTCTGGGAAACTGCCCACCTACCCCTCCCCTAAGCCAACATAAACACTTACTTCTCACTGAGGGCAAAATGTTGGCTAAGGGGAGGGGTAGGTGGGCGGTTTCGCAGAAACGTGTAATGCGTTCTTTCAAGTGGACAGTAGCAGTACGAAGAATTTAGAAATGTTTTTGTACTAGAAGGGTTTATCCTTTTTTTTTTTTTTCAAAAATATGCTTACTGTTTAGTCTGGTTGTTTGATAAACGAGGTCTCCAATTCATACGGGATTTGTCTAGTGGCAGGGTTGCAGCTAAAGATAGTACCCTACCCCCCAGAAATAAGGTTATAGGTACTTTGCAATAGCCTTAACACACGTATCTTGCGTTGACGCAAAACAGAAAAATGCATGTTTACACGTTGCACTGTACACCCTGTTAATGTTAAGAAATTACTTTGATGTCCTGCATTTATCTGGAAGCCTTAATCGCGTGTAATCATGTATCAGATATCGTCTAATCATTTGGGGTCAAGTAAAATATCCAAAGGACAACGTAACTCGCATTTTCTGTGTCTAGCTTTCTGAAGTTATTTTTCGACTAAGCATTTTTTTTCCTTATTTGCGTAGGAAGAGAAGAAAGGCAAACTTCCGTCTGGTCTTACGCTTCAGAGTAGTTCGTTTTTCGCCAATATTTCTTTATCCACTGCATTTCTGTTGGCTTTGCTATGTTCACCATCAGACTATTGGGAATTGTGGGTAGGTAGTTGGCTTACGCAGTTTAATAATAGTGAACTTAAGCAAAGACGTTTTTGAGCGACGCACGTCAACCGGAAGTGGTTTTTTTTCATTTTTGGACAGTGGTTTTGCCCATTTTTTAGGACAACTTGTCTCTATAATAGTTAAGACACTTAGAAATACAAATTTGGGAGCGTCAAGGTGCTTTAAAATGAAAAAGACCTCACTTCCGGTTGACGTGCGTCGCTCAAAAACGCCGTTGCTTAAGCTCCCTAATCGTATTTAAATACTTCCCTTCACATGGCATGTTAATATTTTTAACCCCTTTATGTTAGCGCAAGTAAGATATTTTTGCGTTATGGTCTCTTTGAAGTCAATAATTTTTTTTCTTCAAGCAGAAGAATTTTAAAAAAATGTGAAGCTCTTGATTCACCGTGTACAGTTTTGAAATTCGCAGTCGAGTTTATAACAGTCGGTTCTGACTTTAATAAGTACGAAGCGAAAAATTGCTCACTCTTGCTCACTCTGGTTTGTGCATTTGACTTGAAACTTTAGGAGGTCTGGGCTTGACAAATCATTTCAGTTACAGGTGTACCTAACTTTTTTTGACAGAGTTGAATTTACAGAGCCGTAAGATTAGAGGGGTTAAGCATCACGTTTACGTCAAACGTCAAACGTGAATTTCTACCACGTGACAAAGACTCCCTGTTGCTTGTCGCCTACTGTTCATTATCTCTAGACATAAATTAGTAGTTTCACCTAATTTTTTTTCCATAAGAATTTTGTGAGCTTTTTTTATATGCTAATTTTGTATTTTGAGAAATTCTCAACTTGAATCTGACGTTAGCTGTTTGTCGTGTACGTGAAGCTTAAACTCTCTAGTACCAGAGTATCTCGTTATTGATGTATTGCATGTCCTTCCATTTACCTATCTGCTATTATTGTCAGTTTACCTTTGACTCTCTACTTGCGTATTCACCTACCTTCAAGGCAGTGATTTGAAGAACTAGAAGCGAAAAAAGCGTTCGAGAACACAAAAACCAATCATACTCACCCCTTCTCTTTGGAGCACAGGCCACTTACTCCCCAGGTTAAAGTCGACTGAAAAAATTATGGTTAATTATGGATGTCAGAAAAGAACCTTAGTAACGTCGTTTTTTTTTTTCTTCTAGGTGAGCTTCGCTGTTTTTTCATTGCTGTTTTTAAGACCCGAAGGAACTCCCTATATTCAAGGTGTCAAGTTGCAATTCACTCCGGCCCTACCGGTGGCTATGGCTTTAGCGATTTGTATGTTTCCTAGAACAGTAACGGAGGCGTTACCTGTGCAATTTACTTGGCTGTCCGTTATTGGTAAGACAAACACAACAAAATGTTCATAAAAAGAAACTTAATGGGGAAGGATTTTCAGTAATAGGTGAACATAATTGGAGGCAAAATTCAGTAAGATCGGTTTTATTTATTTTCACACCTTATCATTGTTTTTACATACCTTTTCTTGATGAAACAGAAAATGCTCGGCTCTCACTTCCAGAACAGGCCTGGAGTTACTTGAAAACTGTAAATGTCAGTTCCTGGAGTAACTAAAAGTGCTAAAACATGGTCACATCTTTCGATCAATCACCTGCTTCATTTGTACACTGTAGCTCGGGAAATTGTGATATACAATAAAACCTCCTTAATTCAGGCCCCCAAAATGACAGTTTCCCATGTCGATGTCCTTTTTACTAAGTTGTCGCTATCTTAGAGTTGGCAGTTTTATGAAGCCTGTAGTATAGTTATCTTGGTTTGGTTATATAAAGCAATTTTCTACAAACAACAGACCCGGTCTTTCTTTCTTTCTTTTGATCCAGGTTATGTTTTGGAGATATTGGCCCTGCTTTGTTCTTTGCCGACATATTTAGTGTTGTTTCGAGCACTATGGCAAGACGGCGAGATTTCATTAGTTGAACAGCAGTTGGTAATGTTTACTGCCCCCAGCAACGTCGTACAGCTTATCTACTGCAGCAGTCTATCGGCAAGAATCTTAGGTTTCGTAGGAATTGCCACAGTGTATTGGTTATTTAATGATGTAAAGATTACAAAAAAATAAATAGGTATTTATTCAGTTGTTTAAGCTTATCGTCTGTTTTGTTTGCATCGACTTTGTTTATTTAGGGTTCGACGCAAGGTCAAACGATAATAACTGAAACTTTTCTAGCTTGCGTATTTCCGAAGTGATAACGTTGTCGTAGACATTTCCTAAAGAAATGAGCCAATATTTATCTGGTCGAGTGAAAACTAAACAAAGTGTTTGTAAACAATATTTTCTACTTTTTCCTGCACCTTCTTGGACCAGTTTTGACTAAATGAAGGTGGTCTTTGTGGTAGAAATCAGTTCAGGTCACCGAACAAACTATTACAGAGTTATTTCCGGTACTGGTCACATTTTGCAGTATTCTAATTTCTTTGCGCAGTGTGCGGTATCCTTGTTAGTATGTTCGTTTTTACATGACTAGGAAACGAAGAACACATCCTACTGCTCAAAACCGAAGGTAAGAAGAAAATTAATATTCCCGAGTGCTACTAGACAGAAAGAAAAAAAGATGGGGGATCAAGCGGGGCGTTTACAATAGCACGCGAGGAAACTGCATGAGGAGATTACATGAGGCCTGGAATGCTTGGCTGCAAATCGGAGTCCTGTCGACTTTCCTGTAATGAATTGTATGCACAGTCTAAAATGGGAAAGGTGATTTAACAAAGTAAATTTGATTATTATTTTTTTTACTTATCAACATAATCGGAAGAACAGGAACCTGTAAAGAATTCAGGCTTGACCGTTCGTTGGGGACGAGCAGCACACTAATCTTTGGGTCTCCTGTGGTTCCTTGGGTGTGCTTTCGCTATTTAATCGCAACAACCCGGATTTATGTTTGTCAAGATTATCTTTGGTTAGCGGTAACACTCTTATTGCGTCATTCTAATTGCCCTAAATTTCACACATTAAGGCGCGCGAAAACAGTTTCAAATTATCCCCGTATGGCTCTAAACTGGCCATAAAGACCCAAGTCACAAAGACGACTCCCTTCCAGTCCTTTATCCCTCAACTATTAACTGCATGCCCTAATAAAAGGGTCTGTAATAAAGCAAAATGTGTATGTCAGTGTAATTTTCGAGATGATGTTTTACTGTCAAGCATCTGTTCGCGGTATCATTCTTACAATTTGTAACCTCGAATTTATTTCGTTTATTAAAAATTGAAAGTAGCAATTTAAAGCACTGCAATACATGTAGAACCGTTTTCATTGCGCGCGCTTCTTGTGTAATGGCTATTAATGACGCAGCAGTTTAATTTGCCAATAAAGTAATTATCTGTGACGTATGAATCAGTTTTTTCGATGCGTTTTCCCATGTGAGGTGAGATTACAACTGCGGAGAAAAAGTTTTTCTAAAAAGAGGCGTTTTATCGATAACAGGATGAAGCTCTGGGTGGGCTTAGTTTTCCTTTTTGTGTCATCACAAATGGGAACTTACGCCCGCCCTATTCCAATACCATTTTATGAAGGTGCGCCTTTTTATATTAGTCCTACATGCTCCTTTTTAAAAATTGCTTCGCGGCTTATCTGTTTAACCGATTTCTGTTTTTTTTTTAATTTACGCACAGCTTTGCGTGAGTACCAAAGTTGGGATGATCATCAACCTGGCTCTTGGGCGAGTGAACTGGGTGATGATCTCGAGACCTCGTTTGCCAATGACGAGATGACCGCAAACGGTGAGGCACTGCGTGATAGAGACGGTGTATGGTCAAGAATTGCTGAAAGATTTGGAAAATTCTTATTCGGCAAGAATGCTAACCGAGAAGATGTTGATGACAGTGATCCAGATGAACGTGATGACGAAGACGGCTTCATTGTCGGCGTTGACGACGAAGATGGTAACAAACATTCTCTTAAGGAAGATAACGAAAAAGACAGTGAAGATGATGAACCGGCGGTCGACGAGGATGCAGAAGGAAGTGAGGAAGACGAGGAAGAGGAAGAGATGAACTTACCGGTTGAAGAAGGCGAGGTGGGGGAAGAAGGCAAAGAACCAGTTGACGAAGAGGAATACAGTGAAGAAGACGAAGGAGGTAAGGGCAAGGAGCGGGCTGACGAAACTGAAGACACCGAGGAGGTTGGCGAAGAGGAGAACGAAAGTGAAGACGAGGAGGAGGACGGTGAAGAAAAAAGCAAAGAACAGGTTGATGAAAATGAAGACATCGAGGAGGTTGAAGCGAATGAAGAGTCAGAAGAGGAGAACGAAAATGAAGATGAGGGGGAGGATGGTGAAGAAAGAAACGGTGACAAGGGAGACGAAGAAAAAGGCAAAGAACATGTTGATGAAAATGAAGACGCTGAGGAGGCTGAAGAGAATGAAGAGGAGAACGAAAATGAAAATGAGGAGGAGGATGGTGAAGAAGAAAACAATGAAGAGGAAGACGAAGAAAAGGGCAAAGAACATGTTGATGAAAGTGAAGACGCTGAAGAGAATGAAGAGGAGGACGAAAATGAAGATGAGGAGGAGGATGGTGAAGAAGAAAACCATGAAGAGGATGACGAAGAAAAAGGCAAAGAACATGTTGATGAAAATGAAGACATCGAGGAGGCTGAAGAGCATGAAGAGTCGGAAGAGGAGGACGAAAATAAAGATGAGGAGGAGGATGGTGAAGAAGAAGAGGACGGAGAAAATAACGACAAAGACCAGGAAGAGATCGAAAATGCGAGCGAGGAAGCAGTCGACAAAACCAAAGGCAAGAGACGGCTTGACGAAAATGAAGAGTCGAAAGAGGATAAAGAAAGTGACGACAAAGAGCAGGATGAAGAAAAAAATAGCGAGGAGGTCGACGAAGATAACGTCAAGGAACAGGTTGACGAAGGTGAAAGCAGCAACGTCGTTGATGCCGAGAATGCAGACGATAATGAAGACAATGAAGAGGATAATTCAAATGAAGAAGGACAGGAGCCTGAAGAAGATGAAAAAGAAGGAGTTGATGAAGAAGAAAATCATCAAATTGACGAAGAAGAAGACAATGAAGGAGTTGATGATCCTGATGAAGAACACGATAAAGAAGATGACCAAACTGAGCCAGGAGATGTTGACGGTGCTAATGGCAATGTTGCCGAAGATATACTGTGGTATTCAATTGCTCAGCGGTACTTGAAGAATTACCCGAATGTGAGTATTGGAAAGCTTTACCGTGAGAGCAAGCTACCTCATAATGATCACATCCACGATCATCGCTCAAAAGACATGTCACCCGGCAGTAAAGAGTCAGAGCATGGAAGCAACAGTCAGATTTCTGGAGGAGGAAACAAGTATGTAAAAGTTAATAACCTCGGTATGGCACCAAAGCGCTTGGAAGAAAAAAACGTCATCAAAGCGATACCCTTGGGCGATGTTGTGAAGGTGGACCATAACGAAGACATTGATGAAATTGATACCAGTCATGAAATAGGAGCAGATGATCGTGAGGATGACACAAATGGGGGAGAGAGCTCCGGTTACAAGGAGTTCAAAGTTATTGTGGCCCAGCCTGTTAACTGATGATTACATTTATGGTACAAACAAAACAATGAAAACCGCATTGAATCCGAACAACATTTTATCTGAATACCTTGGTACCTGACATTTTTTCAAAAAGTACCCGTTTTGTGTATCTTAAACGTATTAAGTTAAACTGAAAACTACTTTCAATCCGAACAGTATTTATACAGAACACCTGGCTGGCTTACATTTTTCAAAAGTATCTTGTATGCGTTTCAAGTGTATTAAAACTCAGAGATTTTACAGAAAGAGTGGTTGAGTAATTCTCTATAAATATTTAATTTAACTATAAAAAATGCGGAAAAACCTTTGTTAAAAACATTTTCACAAATTTTGAAATCGTTAGAAAATATACGACGACGTTTCGACGTTCTCGGACGTCATTGTCAAGTAAAAAAATAGAACATGAATGTTCTGTTAATACAAGAAAAAACATTAGGTCATTAAACATTAAAAAGAAAAGTAAAAGTAAGCAAGTTAGTTTTTTTCACTTGACAATAAGTACCCTTTAGTTAGTGTTCAGCCTCACTCTCAGCCTTCAGTAGCCTCAGGGCTTAGCCCAGAACTGGGAGGGTGGACAGTTCTCACCAGTGGCCAGAGCTCGGAGCTCTGATTCTCCTAAATTTCATTTACTCCCCGATATGCGAGATGATAAGGTTCTTAATCAAAACCGTTTTTTAGCGCCGCACGTCAACCGAAAGTGGATATTTTTTCATTATTGCGCAACTGTTGTGTCCAAATTTTCAGGCAAATTGTCTATATAAGAGTAAGGAAACTTAGCAATAGACATTTGGTAGAGTTGAGACATATTAAACGGGAAAATGCCTCAGTTCCGGCTGGTTGACGTGCAGCGCTTAAAAACGTCTTTTGCTTCAGCTCGTTAGTGCCACTAAAAAATCAACCTCGTTCCCAGGGTTCTGTCGTATTTTTCTCACGGAGAGTCCTGGTGGGAGAGAACCCTGGAAACGAGGTTGCTTTATATTAAAATTCACCTTCTTCGGTACATTCGTGACACAAATGTTTGTATTCAGTTTTATTCAATTTTTAGTTGTATCCGTGAAGTGGAAGGGCTTTATTTTTTTCACTTCCCGTTATAATTATATCTCGACAGGATATGCCTAGTTTGCACTCTCAGAAATGAAAATATAGTTGACGCTTCAGAAGTACAAACGAACGGTTTTAGTTCTCTTTTTATTCAAGTATTGGATACAGGAGAAGCTGTACATAAAATAATTCTCATAATTATGCTTTTAAATTGCGGAGGAAAAGTAAGTGCTGCTTGTGTTTCCTGCAGAAAACTTGAACAGTTGACCGTTTGCAACTCTCGGTCCAAATTTTTTAATATTTAAAAAATCTTACTTTACTCTGTAACAATAGCTCGTTCATGCTGATTACATACACTTTGGGATTATCTATTCTCGGTTACCCATAGCCATCGACTGAACTAGCCCTTGGTTATCTTAGATGATTACAAAGTTTTGCTTGGTTTCCATTCTATTTTTCCAAAATTTTCTTCCTAGTTATATAAACGTAACAC